CCGCATCCTGGCTGTCAGGGAGATCTACGAAGAGCACAGTCGGCTCAGTGGCCTGGAGGAGAACATGGACTGAGCGCGAGGCGCTGCCGGGCTGGCTGTGCTCCAGCCCTGGACACCTCGTCTCCCTGCCTCCTGCTGCAGGGCAGAGGCCATGCAGCATGGGAGGGGACAGCGCTGCTGCAGTGCTGTCCCTTCATCGTTACCAGATTTGGACATCCCATCCTCCTCGTTAAGGGCCTGTCCTACGTGCGTGGCCCGCGTGCTCAGCCCTGCCCCCTTCCCCAGCTGCTGGGTGAGCTGGCTTTCTCTAGGCGGTGCCCATAGCCTGGGGGTGGCTGAGCCCCTGGGGGTGGCTGAGCCCCCAGGGCAAGCTCCCCTTCCCCAGCTCTGTCCCCTCCACCCCTACCCCCAGCCCTGACACTACCCCACCTCTACCCCTGCCCCAGGGCAGGAACTGCACAATATGGCAGAGAACTGTCTGGGACCAGCAGCCGTGAGGCGTTTCATTCCCCCTTCCTTTAGCATCCTCTCTCGAGGCTGCAGGTGGCACAATAGCTCTGCTGCTGCAGTGGTATTTTCAGCCAGTGGGGAAGGACAACCGGCAGCCTGAGAGCTGTTGGGTCAAGGGGAGGGCTTGTTCCCAGCGGTGGGCGAGGGGCTGTGGGGAATGGAGGGAGACAATGCTAGAACATAGGAGGAGATACCCCACCTTGCCATGGGAACAGCTCCCTTGTACACAGCTGGACTGTCTCCCTCAATCTTGTCAATGTTTTCTGAGTCAGTGGAAAACTGAGGGTAAGGGGCCTGTGCCGGTGCTGCCCCTCTCTCCTCACTGTCCCCTATCCTGGCGTAACCCCCCTCCTCAGTGCAAGGTGTTATCAGTGGGTCTCTCCACTCGGGCCTTGGCAGCTGCTGGCAGAAGTGAAGAGCTCTGCCTGACCTCCCCCTCCCTCCCAAAGCAGCAGGATGCCAGTGTCCCTGCCTGGGGTGAGCCTGGCTCCAGCTGTGCTGCTTCCCGTTGCCTCCTGTCCCTTGTGTTCTGGTCGGTTTTCTTGAGCTGTACATGGGTCTTCTGTTGAGCCTGTATATATTGTTCTGGGTCCTGGGCTGGGGCCATATGTTCTCTGTGTCCATGTGGAGAGTGAGCCGATACCAGTCTTGTTGTAGTGATTGACAGGGTGGTAGGACTAACCCTGTGTCTCTGGAAACCATTCATTTCAAATAAAGATGTGGAAAACTTTTGGCAGCTCCTGCTCTTCCCTCCCATCAGTGTGGACACTGCAGAAGAGCAAGGCTTCTTCAAGTCCCACTGCTGCTGTGCACCTTGCTTCTGTCCATCCTTGCCTGCGTGTGCTACCTCTGCTTCCTACCTTGTCTGGCCTCTGGTGCTCTGCCAGCTCTGACATGCTGGGATGGCCCCTGAGCCTGTGCCTGCTGATGCCAGCCTGGAATGCCCTGCCTGTCTGCCCTGCTTAACCCTTCCCAGCCCTTGCCTGTAGGGCTGCAGCCCAACCCAACCCAGCAGTGGCCTTGCCCTGGCCATGCAGTGTGTCCGTGGGACAGACCAGTTAGAGAGTAATGCCGCGGTGCCCAGGGGCAGAGCAGGAGCCAAGTGAGATGCAGTGGGTATTTATTTGCTCCCCCAGGGCTGACAGGCCCCTGCCCTAGCCCAGCTCTGCTCTCAGCCCTGCTGCTCCAGGAGTGCAGTGAGCAGCTGAGCTGTAGCCCCAGGGGGCTGTGCCGTTCTCTTGTGCTGGCCTTGGCGTCCATGCCACATGTCTGGCAGCATCCAGAAACAGAACCACAACTGTGGCTGGCTGTGCATCACCCATCCCTGCACATCCCAGCAGGCCCTGTTCACACTGCCAGGTCTGCCACTCGCACCTTCCCGTGGGACCCGCTGGCTACTCCCAGCCATGCACCTGCCTTCCTCAGGGGTGCCAGGCTGGGGGGGTTTCTGCCAGCAGCCATGGTTCTGCCACTACTGGGCAGGGTGATGTAGGTGCTGTGGGGTCCTGCAGGGCCACCAGGACTGGGCAGGATGCAGGACTTGGGGCCTGGCCCCTGCCGGCACTTGGAGAGACCTAGGTAGTAGATCTCTACCAGGTTAAGCAGCAGGGACAAGCAGGCCACCCCCAGCATGAAGAGGATGAAGATGGTCTTCTCCGTAGGCCGGGAGATGTAGCAGTTGACAGTGTTGGGGCAGGGCCAGCGGCTGCAGGTGTAGAGGGGCTTCAGCTGGAAGCCATACAGGGCATACTGGCCGACAATGAAGCCTACTTCTAAGAGAGCTTTGAAGATGACGTTGCAGACATACGTCTTCAGAATGGCCCCCCGCATGCAGACCTGTCCCCGCGTGTCTCCCACAGGAAGCTGGGGCTGCCTGGGGTGCTGCAGCCTGGCACAGCTGCTGGCCTGTGCCACCGCTTGCTGCTGTGCCTTCTCCTCCAGATGCACCAGGTGCAGGATGTGGCCCAGGTACACAAGGCTAGGGGTAGAGACAAAGATGATCTGCAGGACCCAGAAGCGGAGGTGGGAGATGGGGAAGGTGCTATCAT